TTGGATAATATTACAGTATCCTATTGCACATTTATTGTCATAATATCATATCTCTACAAGAGTGGAATCAAATTCCTCAGAGAATACCAATAAATCAGCGTTACGTAAATGCAAATTTTTAATTACAAAATTATTTACTAATCTAAAACGTTCAGTCTTTATAGATGTTCGTACTGTCGAATTATAGTACGAATTTCGGTTTCTTTTAGAAATAAATCCTATTTCTCCTGATATACATCTGTATAACGTCTATTAGTTTGGAAGTAAGGCGAAGTCCTCGACTACTTTAAACGAGAGGGCTTAGTATTTTTTGATTATTTTTATTTATAATTCAAACGTGCAAATAATGTAAACACTATTTTAAAGTATTGTAAGGTAAACAGAGATGCTATCAAATTTTTTTATGAAAACAATATGTATATAACATAACAAATGATATTTAATGACAATGAAATTAAGGAAAATGTTTATTAGATTTTAAATTAACATTTCAACATTGTCAATATCACCATCACTGAGGTGTGAAATGTCAAAATCATCGAGCACTCTAAATTTCCTCTGGGTCATTTGCGGAGCTTCTAAAAGATTACCCAACATTACCCTCTAAACGATTACCAAGCAGAGGCGAAGCAGATACAAACAGGACAATTGGGTCCAAATGAGGAAATCTACAATTTTTTGAACAAATTTTCTGAATAAATAAGTTTTACATTGTTCCTTGCAAAATCTTCAATCATCTAACATCATAAATCATATTTCGGCTACATTTAAATCACAATTTTTCTCGACGGTCGCATCAAAATCAGTAGTCGGAAGGTGCGCCTCCAATTTATGATCCAGAAACAAAAAACTATTTCCGCATTGCAAAACGCGCTCTGATAACGCACGCTCGTGGTGACGATGCACCTCGCCGGGTGACGAATGCGCTACTTGCGCTGACATAAGAGCGCCTGGGCTGGAGCGGGGCTCGCGAAACAAGGGCGCCCCGCGTGGCCTCGGGCGGATTTACGAGCGGCGCCGGCGCAGACAGCAGCGCGGTTGCGCTGGGAGGCGAACGCAGCAGCAGCGACGGGAAGGGAAGAAGCGTGGGTAGCAGCGGCGATGCGGACGGTAGGTGCGTTTGAGAAGGCTGCGGTGTCGGAGGTGAGAGGGAGGAAAAGTATCGTGGAGACAAGATGGAACGTGTATATATAGCAGGAGGAAGAGGAGGATGGGTGGAAGGCAGAGAGGAAGGAGAATAAGCAATGTAAAAAATTAAGAGCTAGGTAATAGACGAATAGGAGAAGAGAGACGAGAAAAAATAAGAGTCGACGAGCAGAAAGCCAATAAGCATAAAAAGCAAAGAGGAAGAAGAAGAAGAAGAGAAAGCAAAGAAGAAAGAAAAGAAAAAGCAAAGAAGAAGAAAGAAAAGAAAAAGCAAAGAAGAAGAAGAAGGAAAACAAAAAGCATGAAGAAGAAGAAGAAGCAAAGAAGAACAGAAATCAAAGTGGTCAGGAGAGGAAGAATAGATAAGAGGAAGAAGTGATTAGAGAAAGAAGAGATTGGGAAAAGAGAGCAGCAGTGACGGAAAAGGAAACGTCAATGGAAGTATCGGTGGTGATACACACTACAGGACATGGTAGTAATGGAGAACGCAGTCAGAAGGAGCACCAGAGATATCGTTTTTTGCGGATGATGGAGGAGGTGATGGCGGCGGCAACTAATGTGCAATAGCAGCACAAGCAGCAGCAGGAGACGTCGAAAAGCGAGAAAGAAGGATTCAGATAACGACAAGCGGTGAGAATTTGACGCTGAAGAACACTACGCAGACAGTGGAAGCTCATCTGAACATTTGCAGGCGTCGTTTGACCAGAACGAAGAGCAAGGGCTCACTGCAAATGTGGTGTAAACGACTGCTGGAAATGCAGACAATATTGTGGGATGCAAATAAACTACGTTTTTCTTTCGTAACTACGCCAAGCTTTTCGTGATACTAGAAATGTGGTCTTGAAGGGAAATTCAGAATTCTGAATGCTTTGGTTGTATTCTGTTTTTTACTTCTCAATAAAATAATTATTTTTTTAATTTGAATTTTGTTTAAGTTCATATAAATCCATATGTCATCGAGAATATTATTAAAAAAAGCATCTAAAGTAATAAAAAGACAACATCGCTGTATACAGGAATCTTATCTAAGTTTACAAGGATGTTGTGTCTACCGAAAATGTACATTTGCCCAAGACTGTGCTTTTTCATTATCCATTTCAAATCCGGAATCACTAACGTACTTTTTTTAATTCCATGTTTCATTTGGTATTAATTCTCTTCGCAAAGTTTTTACACAACATTAAATGCACAAATTATTTTTTTCCGTTTGAACTACTTCCATTCTCACACTCATTGTGGTATGTACCGTGCAAAGTAATTTAGAATGGAAAGTGTTTCGTAATATCAGTGTACACGGTTGCTAGGATCCGAGTCCCTTGCTTATCGACGTATTTAATCATTCACGTGTGCAAGTAAATTATAAAATTGTTTGATATTCAACCTTTTTTCTGTAATCTTCTTGGGATAATATACATTAAATTTCAAATTACACTATACTATTACATTACCTACTTTTGTCTCATGCTTTTCTCACAAACCTAGCTAATGCTGAAGAAGTCCAGTAATTTACTAAAGAAATGAACCATTATACATTCGTATATGATGGAAAACCGAAAAAGTCCGCTTGTCACGATATATGAGTCATTGTTTCATGACATTGAAATTAGACGTGCGAATCAAGTGTCACAGGCGCAAGTGTTCCGGACAGGTCATATCGAAACGGCGCAGCTTCCCTCGCGGACTCCACTTGCAGCAGAAATCCCGCGCAGCCCAGCACTCGCAACTCAGTCCGGCGGCGCTGGCACCGGCGAGATATTGCGCGTCACTTCAAACGGCGACGCCCCGTTTGATCCACGAATCTCACTTTCGCACGCGCCCACTGCCCATTGCCCGCCCAGCCCTCCGCCGCCCAGCCCTCCGCCGCCCAGCCCA